ATAGCAGGGGGGGCCATGCCATGTGGAGGAGGAGGAGGGTGAGGCATGTGCATGGGAGGTGGAGGGACGAAGCCGCCAGGGCCAGGTCCGAATCCGCCCATGCCGGGTGGTGGTGGTGGGTTCATCGGGGGCTGGGGCGGGACAAAGTGGCCGTTGGCCGGGACCGGGGGTGGGGGCTGCGGCCGGGGAACGGCACCCTCAAAGTGCTTGCGGGAGCCGGAACCACCGCTCTTGCGGCTTCGTCCGCTTCGGCTGCTACGGCCGCTGGTGCTGCTGCTACCACTTCCGTAGTAGTTGCCGCTGTGAGGGCTGGCAACCCAGTAGAGTTGGGTCTCGGGCTGGCTCCAATATGAATAGGAAGAGCCTCCGGAGCGGGTAGACCTGTCGTCACGGATATCCCGCTCCCGAGTCTTTCTCTTGACAGCGGTGGCCCCGGACGGAGCGCCGGCAGCCCAGGAGAGGAAACGGATAGAGAGGGGTTGCTTCTTGGGAAGCTTGGTATAAGTGATGCTGTAAGAGGAAGAGGTGGAGCTGAAGCGGTCATCCGAGCAAACGGACGAGCCACCGGAATAAGACTTGGGCGACATGGCTGAGTAGGGCAACTGGGCAGTTCAATTCAAGATCAGAATAAGGCGGGGTGGCGATGGAGATTCCTTGGATATGCGGTTGATGATGTGCAGTTCATGAACTGGAGGGTTCGTGCCTTTGGAGTTGTGAAAGGCAGATCCCAGAAAGGCAGTGGCAACAAATGACTATAATGGATGGGGTTCCCTTGTCAGAGGGCACAATGATCGACAGGCAAAAGCTGAAGAAGAAAGGTGAGGCATACAAAAAGGTCGGAAGCACGAGGATACGGGGCGAAGTTTATAGTCCACGGGGTCCCTCCTACGAAAGCTCAGCCGGGCGAAGCGAGCCCAGCGGCTGCTAGGACTCAAAAGCATCCATATGCTGCGGGCGACGAGAAAAGAGGCAGCTGCGTTATTGTCTTTGATGTTGCACATTTGATGCAGGCTCTCTCTTACAGGAGGCTAAAAGAAGAAAAGGAGAAGAGACAAGGATTGGAACCAAGTGGGTGTGTTGAGCCGTCCTGCAGGCAGGCTCTGGGTGTACAAGAGAGCCCGGCGGGACAATACGACACGGCCCCCCAGGAGGAGGCATATCATGTACCTCGCCGGTATCCCCATGGGCTCAGCTACCAATGGATCTCGGTGTCGGCGAGATGGAGAAACGTATGGCGAGGCTCTGCGAATGAGAAGAATGGTCAGAGGGGGGGGTGCGTTCCGATGCCGTGCGAGCTGGGGGGCGATCATGCGCCACAGTCCGCCTCGCCTTTGGGAAAGAGAGGGGTAAACGTGAGAGGTGATAGAATGTTGGCGGCTCGAGGGTGTGAGAGGTGCAAATCTCGAGGACGAGTGATTTGGGGTGAAGCGGACGCAATGTGGTGATGAGATGTGATGAACATGGTTCGCCGGCATTGCATCGAGATAATTTGGTACGCAACCAGGAACTAGACGTACAAAACTTTGAGATTGACTCAATTGGCTATGAAACTCGAATTCAAAATCTCTGGACCTGGGGTAGAGGAGTGGATAGGAGTAACGGGGCAGTGAAACCTGGTCGATACAAGGTCGTCAGAGACAAACCACCACGGACGGCCCGAGATAAGCACAAGCGGGAATCACTTTTTAGCTCGCTCAGTGGAGAGAGAGGGAGGAACATGACCAGAGACGAAATGCAGGTGAGAGAGGAACGGCATGCGAACCAGGCAAAGCTGCGCCCGGGGAGACCGCCCGGTGGACTGGGGTTACCGCCCGGGTCCACGTAGCTGGCTTGCCTTCTATGCAGAATACATGATAAATGAGGCTGCACGAGCTGTCACACAGTAAGAAATACATTTGACTTGTTTCCCCCGCGCGTGGCCTGGCTGAGAATGCGGGCGTCGTTTCGGTCAGAGTACCGTAGTGGTAGACGATTGGATAAGATGTGCCAGGGTTGCTCAGCTGCAGGCGTCCGAAGAGGACTTTGGTTCGCTGACAGAAGTGGACTATGAGGTGATGGGCTTTTCTCCCTTCAGGTTACCCTCGTGGACTGATGGATTTTTTTGTTGCAAGAATAAGCGCGGTTGACTCGACATGCGCTGCAACAACGGCTGAAAAAGTCAAAGTGTAAGAAGGGTTGATGGAAAGGACAGAAGGTCCTTCAAGATAGGGCTGACGGGTCAGGGATGGAGGCTCGAGAGGTGCATCTGGCTGCCTCTTGTATAGGTGTGAACCTTGGTCAAGGGTTGACTACTATCAAAAGTTTAGGGTAGTTGTTTTCTCCATCGCCAAGTCATGAATCTTGGGTAAATCCACCAACTCGTAGTTGGTCAGTGTCTCTCTGGCCGATCCTCACTCGTTCCCTCGATTCAAAAAGCCGAGTCTCTTACCAGCAAATGCGAGTGCTCGAGTATTTCTCACATATGCCCTCAGGCACGAGGTCAACCCGAATATTAGGGTTGCCCCGTGGTTGGCCAGTTGGCTGCAGGTCGACAGTTGAAATGACCAGCACACGGCCCATCAGAAAAGCAGGGCGAACGTTTTAATTACAACAGCTTCACTTTTTCAACTTTTCTGGTGTGGTCGATTATAAGATGGCCAGACCTGCAATAGAAAGGTATTCGCTGCATGGTCCTCTACACCATCTTTCATTGACAACACATGCATACAAGTCGTCCAACAATGTCTGCATCTTGGTCAAACCAAGGCTGCAATTCTCCTTGGATGTTCCGTCTCGATTGACGGCAACCCTAGATGATTTGACTAGTTTACCCATCTTTTGCGCCCGTGTTCCCCTTCCCGTGTCCTGGCTACCCGCGTCCGACGTCTCCGACGTCAGGACCTGAGCAAGTGGTTGCACTGGAAGGTGAGTTCACTGCATAACGTCCGACTAATCGGAGAGGACAACTCGGCTTGGGGAGCCATGTGAGTGACACGTTCATAAAAAAACTGATGTTGTCATGGAGTCCTACCCTTGATCCATTCAAACGGTGATTGGAACTACGGATGAGCACGCTCGGATCTGGGGGAAAAAACTTGGAAAGAGACGAAATGCTGGGTAACATGTGGACCAGATGCGGACCCGGCCTCTATCCCGTCAGCTAGGTGAGTGAATATCCTCATCCCCCGAGTGATAATCCGAAGGACGGCGTTTCCTGGAGCACACGCCGTGACCCGGGCCCATTGGTTGTCAGGCCCGGTCGGTCGGGATCGTCGTCTCTCGCTACAAACCCTCCCGGTCCGAAGAGGGATGACCGCATCGAGGAATGTGATGGAAGGGAGGAATGGTTCATGAGTTTACAGGAGTTGATCGGCAAGTGGGCAGCAGCGTGAAACAAGATGGAGCCTGTGAGATGTGTCCGTCACTGGAGGAAATATCCAGAGCCGTACAAAACACCGAGGTCAAGTCGGGCGTTGTCCCGTCGTTTCAAACGAGAAAACCACTCTACACGCTGCCTTTCTGTGACGTGAAGTCGTCATTCAACACTTTGACTCCAAAATCTGCCGATGAGGCCATTGCCAAATCTGATGTGTACAATAGGGCCAATCAAGCCACCGTTGGACCTCTCGAGGCCATTGCCAAACAGCACGCGACAAGAGGCAAATCGTAACAGCATCTCCCTCTTTCACCCGTGGAAAACCCGACAGAGCCAAGCTTGTTCTCGGCCTGACAAATGACGGGTAGGGTTTGGTTGCCAAGCTGAAGGCGAGGCATGACATGACGCTGAGATTGGTGATTGATGGTGATGGGGGTTGCCGACATCCGATTAACCAAGAGATGGTGCAGCTAACAGCGCATTCATACGAAGCCGAGGGCCGTATTTATTTGATGCGGCATCCCACTCTCTTTCCCGTATTGAAACGGAACAGTCAGGAAAAAAACAGACACACACACACCAAACTGAAAATAGCATCTTAGTAAAAAAGTCTCCATCGCAATGACGCAGGAATGAAACCTCGCCGGTCCCGCTCAAGGTTCTGTGCAGAGATGTCCGCTGAAAGAAAAAACAATGGTCGGCGCTGAAACCTGGGAGCAGCTGGTGCTTCCATGGAAACAGCGAGTCCCCGCCAATCACGTCGTCGGGGGCCGCATGCTCCGCAGGGCCAAACCTGGAAATCCGTGCAGTCCCTTCGGATGTCCCGACTCGCGCGAGTTCAATTGCTTGGTGATGGATGTTATATTCTTGTTGTATTATCACACGATGCCCTGTATAACCTTCTTTTCTTTTACCGAAATTTGGGCAAAGAAATGGTTAATCATCGCCATCTCCCATACTTTGGTAGCGGCCCCCCTTGCCTCAAACTCAGGTCCAAGCAAGAATAGAAAAAACTCTAGAGCCAGCCCTAGGCCTTGTTCAGTCTAGTCCCCTTTTGGTGCCCTTTCCCCTTTCACGAACCTGGCCTGACTGGGCTGTTTAACTGGGGCAGAGTCGCGCTGGGAGTCGCGCTGGGGCCCTTCAGATTCCCTCTTGACGACAGGCCAGGACAGGCCCACTGCTGGATTGGATTGGACTGGACTGGACTGTTGTGGTGTGGCTCCTGCCCATCTCCTGTTGGCCTGCTCTCCCTCCTGCGTCCCGCTGGGCTCCTTCCACTGGCCACTCACTCGCTCCCTCTCTCCCTCTCGAAACCCGCTTCGCTTTCTTGGCTTTTTGCAGTCTGTCCATCCCATCGATCCATTCAATCCATCTCAACTCCAACTGGGCAGCCAGACAATCATCATCACCATCGTCAAACGTCATCATCGACATCGAACTCGAAGAGCATCGTCGCGGACACGTCCCTCTCGCTCTCCTCGATCGCCTCCCTTCGCCATTGACCCGCCGCCCGACCGACGACTCCCTTGACCCCCTTGCAACAACGACCAAACTTCAACTTCAACGCCCGACGACGGACCATTCCTAGGGTACGCCCTCGTCGGCGTCTCTGGCCTTTAGCCGTGGCCTCCCTTTCCACCACGCCATGGATTCCTCCAACGGCAAGGGCTCCAGCACCTCGCGTCCGTCTTCCGCAAGGCGTTCGCGTTCGTTGAGGTTGTCCACTGGCAGTGGTGCTACCGACGATGACTACGACCTCAGCGCCATGATGGTGGCCGATGGCTTCCGGCCCTCCGAGACTGCCGCATCCTCTACTCAACCTACTTCGAATCCTCGTACCGATCCGTCACTACCATCCGAGGCTTCCTCCCGATCAACGCCCCCTATAGAATCTCACCAGCCGCCAGGTGCTACAGCCTCGTCTCCTGAGATAACATCTGCCATCCGAAACCGTCCTTCCAGTATCTCAAAGCCACCTCGGGCCCACGACTCTCTTGCTCTCAGAAACGAAGGTGGGTCGGCCGTTGGCCGGCCTCATGTGCGCAATGTTCCAAGCGTGTCTTCCGACTCACCCGTTATACGCGCCGAAAGCCCCTACACAGGCCCATCTGGCCCATCACACCCTTACCAGATGTATCCTCAACGGACCCTGAGCGTAGCTACTACTTCGACCACTGCCGCCGCGGTTATTCCGGAAGACCGTTCTTATGGAGGTCCTCGTGGTCCGACTCATCCCTATGCTCTCTACACCCAAAACACAACTTCGACTGAAACGACCACCCCATCGATTCCTGTGGGATTCAATGACATGGGAGCAGGATATCAGCGGCAACTCGGTCCTGATGGAGAGGAGGCGGGTGATTTGATCGGCCCATTGGGACATATGGAGGAACTGCCGCCATACACGAGATATCCGGACACTCCTTTCGCCCCCAAGCCCACGACCGAGACGCCTAGCACCGAGCCTTCGTCTCCGGACAGCAGAAACATTCCTGGAGCCGGTGGGATTGGCATGGCGACTCGCGACCCTGAATTTTCCTCAACCGACGACGATCTGGCTTTACCAAGGACACGTCCCTCGGTCAGGAGTAATACATCCGAGACTAGCCATCACGACATCAACACTGCTGCTGTTGAGGTTGCCGAGAAACCTGCCGTCAACAAATGGCAACGACGTGCAAAGAAGAAGCTTTGGGGGATTGTGCCGTACTGGGCCATTTGCTTGATGACCGTGGGCCTGGTTGTGATGGGCATCATCATGGGTGCTGTTATTGGAACAATCTTCTCTCGAGATGGGCCTCCTGGTGGCCATCCACCCCCTGAAGAGTAAGTGAATCTTGAATATGTTGCCGAATTATCCTGACGTTGGTCTTAGTGCGCAAACCTCATCACCATCAACGACATCGTATGAGCCCGAAACACTCACAGCGATTCCAACTGATCTACCTCCCATGGCCACAGGCCACTATGCGCTCCCAAATATCGAGCCAACGCGGACGAACACGTTGTGTTTCAACAATTCCGACCAGGTTAAAGCCTGGACATGCAAGACCTACTTCCCCCTATGGTCGATCGAGGTCAATGAGGTCTCAACGCCTGACTCCCAGACGTCCTACAAGCTGATACTAACACCGAAGGATGGTTCCCCGGAGCTCCCCTGGGGCATTCAGCCTCCTGATAATCTTCCGCCACAACTCATGGTCTTGGTCAATGACACATCCGCAGGTGGCTTTGGTCCTGCGTGGCGGGTCAAGACGACATACAACAAGACAGTCATTGTTCCTGAGAAGGACTTTCCCTTAACCGGCAAAAGAAAAAGAGGATATGAGGATGATGATGATGAAGATGACGACGACGAGTATATGTATCGCCCTTATCCGCATCGCTTCAAGAAACAGCCTATCCACGCTATGGTGGGCGATAAGCCGTGGGTCTGTACTTGGCCCAACACTGTTCTCGAAGTTTACATCTATCCCAATGAGGTCGCCAAAGTCCCATCATATACCCCATCTGCCACCACCACCTATGGCTCTGCCACTACGACAGCCACCTCTTACGACCCCTACGCGACCGAGTTTGGCAAGGCCGTACCCTACTACCCCAAAGTCTTCAAGATGATAGAGCGTCGCCTTCCCGTGACTGAAAAGACAGTGGCGAGCTGTCAACAGGTTGAAGTGTACGAGGATGGCGAGTGTAAAACGCTCGAGGGCAGCCACACCGTCATTATTGAAGAGATTGAGTCTGGAGACTCTGTCAAATTGTTTTCACCACGGTCGGATATCGAGTCAAAACGAGAGATTTTTGGAGGACTCACTGAACGTGGATCGCTCGAACTTGCTGATTGCAGCTGTCTATGGTCAAATTAAGAAGCTGGTCCGATATGTGCAAATTGGGTTCGGGCCATTGTGGCAAGGTTTACGGGTAGCCTGCCGGAGGGGACCATGAGTTATGGATAACGATCCCCTATTCCTCGTTGAATGGCAAGGCGGTATACAGGTGGTTTGGTTGGCGTCGACGCGATCTTATACGACAATTGCGTTTGGGTCGCCGGAATTTCTGTCATTACATTACTTTCAGAGCGCATCTGGGGGAGGAGGAGCGGGAATTACCTATATTGTGCAACGCATCTTGGCTTGGAATCTGGACGGGACATGGGAAACGGATATAAGGAGTTTAGGAGTGACTGCACGTGTGCGAAAAGAAATGTTATCTAGTTATCATCTTCAATCTGGCTAGTTGTGAATAATGACGGCTTGTCACAGCTTCTCCTCAGCCTTGGGTAGTTCTATCATGGCAAACTCGACTAGGAGCGAGACCTTGTCTTGTCTTGTACTCGCTAACAACGGGATGAAAAATACCACACGGGGAATTACACGTGAACAACGCTCATGTCCGAAGATCAAGGATGGATATATATGTACATTGTACCGTCTGTGTCTGTGGTCCTATTCCTCCCCTTCTATTCCTGTGCGATCTGGCGGGACCTGCCTCATCCTCTTGACGTGTTCACTCATGTAGACCTGAGTCAAGGTGTCCTAGTACGATGTCCGACTAAGGTGTTGAGCACAAGACTTTTCAGGTGTGGACACCTCCCACAGCAATCCCGTCGACGATGTCGCAACCTCCCACCGCGACGTAGCCTCGTCTTGATGTGGGTTGCTCAAACCCGTCATCACGCCCTGGGACATGTCCTGCCGAGGCAGAGCGTCATGTGAAGTTGCCGCTTCACGGATATGGGGATGAAGCCGTCACTGCGTGGCTCTGGGCGCTTCTGTCTCGTTCTCGGGTGTCTCGCGGATCTCGTTGTCAACAATATCCTTTCTTCCATCGCGGAAATCTCGCATCAGAGAGAGAAAGACTGAGTTCTTCCACTTGTCGCCGTCCTCATGCTGGACCGACTCGAGGAGTCGCTCGGCGGCGTCGGCGACATCCGACTTGGTCTTGGCGGCTTCCACGGGTTCTTCTGTTACTGACTCCTCCACCACAGGCTGCTGGGTCTCCAGGGATAGGTTGGCGATATTTGGGGGTTCCAAGACTGGCGTCTCTTCTCTGGTCTCGGCAGCAGCTGATTCCTGCTTTGATGCTGCTTCCGCCTCAGCAAGAGCTGCGTCGTTGAGTTCGAGTTCGCGAGCCATCTGGTCCATCATGGCATCCACCTGCTCCATGTTGCCTCCGGCGTTGCTTGTCATCCACTTGGACACCTCATCATCAAAGTCAGCCTCCGCGGCAGGTCGTTGAGCTATCGCTGCGTTGCCCCCCATGAATGTGCCGTTAGCCTGGCCATACATCGGCGCGAAACCAGCATTCGGCCTAGCAAAGGCTGCTTGGAAGTTCATCTGAGGAGTAGGTTGGTGGATGGCCATCTGAGGCGTAGCCTGGGGGAAGCCATTCTGAAGTGGCTGCTGCTGGTGTTGGCCCGCGAAGCGATTGAAGTCGGCAGCCCAGTTACTTGTGTCTACACCAGGGGATTGAAAATGTGATGGTTGCGCTGGATGAAACCCTTGAGGATGCGCTTGTTCTAACATGGCAGCTTGCGCCGCTAACCTCCCAGCGGCATGATGATGAGGGACTCCGGGTAGAGTAGAAGGACCATCCATGAATGCGCTGAAGCCATCTGGGCCTTGCATAGGCTGTGGTGTAGATCTAAAGGCCTAGAGACGGTTAAGCGATGAGACGGGACGGAAGACGAATGGGCGGGCTTACATTGGAACCCTGTGGACCGCTGTTGACGAGTCGGTCTTGATGATGGCTGACATCTCTGGCTTGGTGATCGACCAGGCGCTTAAAGGGTGTACCGCCGCTACATGAAGCGTCCGCCATGGTTGTGGTTTATGCGATGAGAGAAGAAGTTGTACAGTGGGTGATGTCAGTGCCGACGTACCTCGGCGAAGGAGGCGATGGCGGGGGTAGAGATGAGTCTTGGGTGTAGAGATAGCAGCAGGCTGTACAGAGAATAAACAGTAGAGGAGAGATGCTCCAAGTACGGTATATAGAAACAAGGATGTAGAGACACTGAAGATGAATAATGCAAAAGAACAGATCGAGTTCGATGGCCGGTGGCTCGTGATCGCTCCGCTCTGCCGTCCGGGGAAGCCTGCGCCGAGGCACCCCTAGGCTCGGTACGTACTTTACCAAAAACCGCCGCTGGCTCCGTGAGGTACCGGAGACTAATGCGGCAGGTGGGGTTCCACAGCTCAGCCAGTCATGCCTCTCCTCACGTGACGTCGAGCGGCTGGGCCAACCTGTCACCACCGCCACGCCCGCGAGCAGGTACCTAGCTCCAGGTCATGGGCGGTATCGTGTCCTCTGTTAGCCAAACTCCCTTAATTCATCCTCCATTCATTCCCCTTGCGTTGCAATTTCTGGCGCAAACCTTAGCAACATGGTATGTTGATAGCGTCACGAAGCCTTCCATGTTCTCATTTTCACATGGTCGAATCGCAGCGAGCTAACTGTTGACCCCTTTAGGCGGCGCAAGTAATCTCCAACTCTGGTCATGAGGACATGATTGTACGTTACTTGATCAACAAACAGCTGTGCAATGCATCGCTGGACCTCCTACCGATCATACAAATACACCCCAAAACCCGCGAACCACGCTGACAGCTTCTCCAGCATGATGCTGTCCTCGACTACTACGGCCGCAAGCTAGCAACCTGCTCGAGCGACAAGACCATCAAGATCTTTGAAATCGAGGGCGAGACCCAGCGTCTACTGGAGACTCTCAAGGGGTGAGTGCGAGGAGCTTGCTGGAAGGTACAAGGATAAGAAGAGCTGACTTGGAGGGATAGACACGAGGGTGCCGTCTGGTGTGTCGCTTGGGCGCATCCCAAGTATGGTAACATCCTAGCGTCGGCTGGCTACGACGGCAAGGTGTTTATCTGGAAGGAGCAGGGTGGACAGAACAGCTCTTGGCAGCGCATCTACGACTTTCCCCTACACAAGGCCTCGGTCAACATTGTGTCGTGGTCTCCCCATGAGGCGGGCTGCCTTCTGGCCTGCGCTTCTTCTGACGGCAACGTGAGTGTCCTCGAGTTCAAGGACAATAGCATCGACCATACTACTTTCGCCGCCCACGGCCTCGGCGTCAACTCTGTCTCTTGGGCCCCCGCCACTACCCCCGGTAGCATTGTCAGCAGCGCTCCCGGTCCCGCTGCCACTGGCAACCGACGATTCGTCACGGGCGGCTGCGACAACGTCCTCAAGATCTGGGCCTTTGACCCCGCCTCGCAGTCCTACAAGCAAGAGACGGAGCCGCTGGTGGGACACAACGACTGGGTCCGCGACGTTGCCTGGTCTCCCACGGTGCTGCAAAAGTCTTACATCGCCTCGGCCTCGCAGGACAAGACGGTCCGGATCTGGACCTCTGACCCCTCCAACCCGACGCAGTGGGACTCCAAGGTGCTCAACTTTGAGGCGGCCGTGTGGCGCGTCAGCTGGTCCCTGAGCGGCAACGTGCTGGCCGTCAGCGGTCAGGACAACAAGGTGTCGCTGTGGAAGGAGAACCTCCGAGGAGAGTGGGAGTGTGTCAAGTCGATTGAGGAATAGAGACGAGATATGAATAGGGTGAGAGCAAGGCGTTCAAGGCAAAAAAAAGGGTGACTATCTTGCTATCATCTCTTTGACGGAACGCCAAGTGACCATGTGTGCCTTTACGAATGTTTGAGACAAAGACGTGTTTCCTGATTTGTATGGGGGAAAATGTTGTGAGGTGATATATTGTATCATCTCCTTTTTAGTAGGGAAAGCATGCCATGACTATAGTAATAGAGCTGGGAATTTGAATAATGTATTTGTCCCGTGGTATATGTGCTTGAACTAACTTTGTTCTTTATACGCCGTAACTCCTAGCAAAGATATTGCACACACGCTTAAACCTGCGTTAGATCGTATTTAACGAATGAACCCAATTCATACCATAAATCATCAGTCGTTACTCATGCAAGAAAGAAACCCATAATAATAGCCACAAGCGTTACCACCACGGCCCATGAGCTAGGGCGCATGAACTGGGAAGCAGCGCTGTCATCGTCATCACCACCGCTCTCCCCACCGTTATCATCATTGGTGTCATTGTCACTGTTCTCACTGCTGTCCTGTGCTAGAACAAAGATCTCGCCGGTGCTGTCGGAGCTGAACCATAGACGACCCTCAGAGTCCCAGGCCAGACCCACAGGACGGAAGCAGTCGTCTGGACAATTGGAGAGGTCTGGGTTGCTGATGATGGTTGTTGTGGCGTTTGTGCTGTTTGAGGGTGATGTTGGGCGGCCGTCTTTGAAGGCTACGGAGGAGATTTCGTAGCCTACGGGTTCATCACGGTTCCCTATATTCGTGTGAATTGAAGGCTAAATACATGAGAGAGAGAGACTCAACTTACAACTGCCGTGGAACGAGATATAAGCCTTTGTACCGTTTCCGTCAAACTTGATATCCAGAGGTGCCGTGTGAGCCTGGAAAGCAAGCACCGGAGGGACATATTCAGTGTTGCACTCTTCGTCGCTAGGTGCAGACCGTCCCCCTGTTCGGTCAGCCGGAAACTGATCACCCGTCTCGAGGTCCCCAAGGCTGGGAAAGTTGTTGGTGGACCAGATGGTGTAGCACAGTGGATATCCGTAGTTGCCGCCCTGGCCCTCTCGGGAGCCGTTAAGGAAGCCGTGAAAGTTGAGCTCCTCGGCTGGGTTGTCGCGGTGAATGTCACGGCCTCTGCGGCGGAGGTTGTCGACAGAGTTCTCGACAGAGTACACGCCTCCCGTCTCCGGATGTTCCGCCACACCGACGGAATTGCGAAGGCCCCAGCCAAGTAGGTCGCCGTCGAGGTAATCATACGGTCTGAACCTTTCACCCAAAGCTGAGACGTTGAAGGCTC